TTCAAATAAGTGCTTAAATCAAGGTCTTAATCCATCAAGACCTTCCACAAGATGCATGGATCAATTCTAATCAATGGGACTTCATGTTTATGGCTAATGAACCCTCCTAGAGTCTGAAAGGAAAACTCAAAATGTCCAGAAAATGTCATGCTCAAGATGAGACCTTTGGGACCAAAAAATTAGCACAAAACACCCATAAACAATATCTAGTAAACTAGCTGATGTGTGTAAAACCAACTAGTTTTAATCCTACTAACTTAAATACACAGACGAACACATGAAAGACAGTGTACCTATCGATTAGTAGTTTAGTTCAGGTAAGTAGGGTATGGAACCAGGGAACGGTAAACAATTAAAAGAAATGCTCATATTATCTAAATAAAACAAGTAATAGAAAGGGGGTTTCTCTAGTTTTGCAAGACTAGAAACTTAAACAATTAATACTTAGACTACTTAACTAAAAACTAGATAAGCAAAGATTCAACTAAATTCAATAACGAAGGGAACTTCTGTTTAGTTCAACTCAATTGATCCTATGGTTGATATTATGGTAATAGTGCAATGGATTAATTCTTCTATTGGCTACCGATACAAGTGACTAGATTCACGTTCGCTGCACTAATCCTTAGAGAACAAACTAACTCAAATGGTGGCCAGTTGTCTAATTTAATTCAATTCACTAGGTTATTTATTCGGGTTAATTTAGACTTGTAATGGTTAACTAATTTGGTCCTTTAATTAACCTCTTGTTGATGGTCATCACACAAGCTCACACATGAATTTACCTATTTTTCTTATTAATTCTAGTTTCACGTTCGCTAATCCTAGTCATATAATAAAGTGTTCACATAAATCATATGAGGTAAACAATTAAGAGATGTTCATGCAGCTTAATTATCTTACTATTAACAGAAAAATAGTTATCATTCACACATAAGGTTCTTTAACAAACTAAAATCAACAAAATCACCAATATTAAATCAATCCTACCATAAATCAAACCATAATCACAAAATCATCTATCCTAAATACAAGTTATGAGTTTTTAGCTCATATCTACAACAGAAACAAGCTCAAAAACGAAATAAATTGGTAAAAACATAGTTCAAACAAGAGATTAGGTAAGAGTAAACTTGATTTTGACTTGATTCTCCTTAAAATTGAATGTAGTGTTGATTCCTTAGCTTCCCATGCTCCAGCAGTACCTTTAGTCGACAATTAGCCTCCAAGGGTTCATCTATCTGCTAGGGTATCGATCTAAAAGTCCCTTTATATAGATTTTCACAAAATAGGGGATACTCGGCGAGTCCAGTGAACTACTCGGCGAGTTCGTCACTTAAAACCCGTGTACGGCAAGTCAGTGCGTCCAGAATCGCGAAAGTTCGAAGTGACTTGTCGAGTTTATGGCCTACTCGTTGAGTCCGTTTGGAATCAACATTTTCTCAAAACATGAAAGTCGTCCTAAATTGTGTCTAGTTTTCATAATATTTTGAATCTCATCATTCGGAGTTACGGTTCATGAGATATGTCCAAAACACTGAAGAGGGGTCAAGCTGTCCAGCAACATCCTTCTTTCTTCAAAATCCAAGATCCAAGCTTCCAATCGCTAGTTCCGCTTCCTTTTTCATCTGAGCATGTTATTGTTACTGAAAAATGAAATTATAAACTAATTAAGCACCTTTTGTTCATTAAATGAGACAAAACAACATAAAGTATTAAGATAATGCATGAATTTTATAACTAAATATGCCCATATCACTAGCCATCAGGTTATGAACTTTATACCTTGAAATGATGGATAATGGAGCAAAACTTCCAGATCCAAGATGAGCTTGGTTCCTTCCTTCTTCTTCTTAGCACACAAATGTACACGTTAATGATTGAAATGGCTTCACATGGTGGTTCTAGGGTTACAATCATGAAAGAGAGGGTGAAGGTTGTTAAGGTGAAGGGAAATGAGGCCATAAGGATGCTTAAATGCTATCTTAATAATCTAATTTAGGGTTTCCACATTTATCAAGTACGCCCCGCATACATAGATGTATGTCCGGCGTACTAGGGCACACCCTAGTATGCTCAACGTACACACTAGTACGCATGGCGTACTCCTTCCTGCGATAATTACAAAAATGCCATCATCGCTCCAATGCACAATTTCTTAGACTTATGAACCAAAATGCAACATAATAAAATTAAAGGGTTGAAATTAGAATTACCTTAACATCGGGATGTTACAACATGATGCAGTTAAATGAGGATGGAACGGGATATGTATCCTATACATGATGAAAAACCTTGGTATCGAGTCACCAGAAGGGTGTTTCCGGTAGTATCAAGTGAAAAATTGCTCCTGTCTTGCGCCGTTCATTTGGGCAATTACATGATCTCACGACCATAAAGTGTAACAAAACTTCGTTTTAGAGAGTGTTTTTGCAACAAATCAACACATGTGGAGGAAAATTATAACTTTTAACATACAATAAGGAGTATTCATGTTCTCAAGGAACCATAAGTTTGGAGACATGAAAGATTATGCATTCTTCTAATGGAAATTCAAAATGACTGTTTCAAAATATAAAAAAGATAACCACAATTTTGATTCCTTCACTACCTTAAACAAAATGGAGACACGACATATTATGCATTGTTATCATTATAATACTTTATACGAAATGAGGACATGAAATCTTTATATTTATACTGCTAAACGGTTAGACATGATTCATGAATATACGACTGGCCTTCTTGGTGATATTGACTATGGAGTAACATAGATGTATCATAGTGATATTAGTATTAATATAGATATTGTTAGGAGTGAAATGTGGTAATTATTGTTTATATTGTATTTGTATAAATATTACATAACAATTTGAGTGCTTAATCAATTTCAAATAGATTAAGTTGTCTAAATGGAACAATTAAAATATAGTTACTATTTATATTATTTATCCCCACTTACAATCATGATTAACTTATTTTCCTGGTTAATTGAAAATAAATAAATTATATCATAATAATGGAATGCAGTCAAACCTTGAATAAAATACTAGATGAACTTGAAACAAAATACTAAAAACTATTCCACTTGGAATGTGGTGAAACGATTGAGTCGTGTTCAAATCTTAACATTACTCAGTCCTTATGACCATGAAGATTTGCCTGAATTGATTCATGAACATGAGGCATCGCCTCATATTCATAACAAAAGATTTATCGGTACACGAAACTTGTTCTGAAAACCATCATTAGGAAAGTTTCATTTCAAAAAAAAAAGTGATGTTATTTTTATGTGATGACCAAGTTTCCTTTCAAAAAATGGAAGATAAAATTGCAAAAATCGTTCTTATGGTTGATAAAATTATGTGGTTTTGGTCCAAAAAGTTTCGAGGGTGCACCAATAGTCCAAAATTGGATCTTTTTATTGGTTTTGGTCCCTATTCACTTAAAAAGACAATTATGCCCTTATGATTTATATTTTCTATTTTCTTTAATTATTGTAATACATGAATTAATTTAAATTACATTTTTCGAAAACAAAAAACCTATTGTACTCCCTTTTCCCTTCTTCGTCTATAACCTTCATCAGAAAACCCTTCCAAATCACCGGTCATCTGCACAAGCCTTCCACTGTCGGTAATATCCTCCCCTCCTTCAACATGTCAGCTCTTTCTCTTCCATACTTTCTCGAAGAGTATAGAATTGCCATCCCCAACAGCTAGTCCGCCTCCCACGCCACTCCTTGTGTGTAAGGAAAACACATCATTTTGTACTCTAAATTCCTTATATCATGATCTAAAATCAAACGACGAAGGTTAATGGTGGTGGATCTGAAACTGTGAAGAAAAATCAATTTACAACATCTTCTTCGATTCATCATCTACAAGCATTGATTAACATCAGCAATGGATGTTTCAAGAACGTCGAATGTCCGGTGAAAACGGAGATTCGTGAAGATCCAATGATTAATTTCTAAAGATGATGTAGATGGTTATTATGGTATCACAATTAATTATTTAATTATGGTCCAACAATCTAAGGTCCTTAAACGGGATGAATGAAGCCAAATAAAGGGGATAATGTTGGATTCACAATTGACGAGGTTACAAAGGTATTTATAGATTTGTAGAACCAGAAGCTTGAATTTGGGTTTGCAGATTTAGTTGTGATATTTACAGGTTGGTTCTTGTTATTCTACTGTGATGAACAAAAGATGGCTTCCTGTTGTTGTTCTAAGCCGACATTCCTTATCTACAAAATTATGTTTGCGAAAATATTAGCAAAGCAATCATAAGCTCCATGGTTTTTCATTAAAAAGTTGAATTTGTAGATATACATCACTCTTTTCAAGTTTGTCGGATTTTTTTGGTGATGCAGATCCGACAGACAGTGATAAAGAAGTAGAGGCAAGTGATAAAGAAACAGAGTCAGTAGGAGTTGGGTTTCCTGTTGTAGCTGGAGCAACATCACAATTCTTGTTGGAGCTAAGGTTTTCTCGAGCACACCACAAAACACACACAGACAGAGTAAATAAGTGGGTGGATGATATTTCATTTTCTTTTTTTAATCAAAATAATAATAAATTAAATAAAAGAAATTAAAAAAGAAGTAATGAAATGTATATTTGTCAATCATGTGGGGTATGAATCAATACTACACAAAAATAATAAACGAAGGGACAACACATGGTATCCGAATTTAGACGAGGTATGCATCAACAAATTTTTTTGAATCAAAATCCCATAATTTTATTATTTTTGTAATTTTTTCAAGATGGAAGTTTTTTTAAAGAAAGGGTTCGTATGGTATTTACGAGATTCACTACCATTAATAACCTGACCTCCTTTTGAAAGTCTATTAGCAATAATGCTAAGGAGAATATATAGAAGGAAAGTAAACGGGGAAGCATAAAATGAACATATGAATAAGTAAATAAAATTGGTGTTTTTGAAAGAAATGATAAATATACGGATATAATTTCGGAATATTAACCTTTTGGGCCATATTTTTGTAGAGGAAATTTTGGCACATAGTTTTCAAATCTCTCAAAATTCAATGTCTAGAAACCAGTCCAAAAGCCAAAACTTGGAGGGAAAGGGATAAGATTATTTTCAACAAAAATCTCATGGATGATAAAAACTCTAGAATGATCGATATCAAAATATTCACTTTTACAGATGGACGGCTACGATTTCTCCATGTCACACTTATCAACACCCCCTCAGTTATAAAATCTGCAGAATCTGTTCTCCATTCTACTCATCTTCTTCGTTAGCACTCACCGATAGAGAAAAACCCCAAAATCATGTCTAAGAAAGCCATGGAAGTTGTAAAAGGCATAGATCTACAAAGGTACATGGGCAGATGGTATGAAATAGCTTCATTCCCATCGAGGTTTCAGCCCAAAGATGGGATCAACACAAGGGCTACGTACACATTGAAAGACGATGGCACTGTTAATGTTCTAAACGAGACTTGGAGTGGTGGCAAGAGAGGATTCATTGAAGGAACTGCTTATAAAGCTGATCCCAAAAGCGATGAAGCGAAATTGAAGGTGAAATTCTTCGTTCCACCATTTTTGCCCATCATACCTGTTACAGGTGATTACTGGGTGTTGTATCTTGATGATGATTATCAGTATGCTCTGATAGGTCAGCCTTCCAGAAGTTATCTCTGGGTACGTTTCTATTTCCTGTTGTTTGTTTTGTTTCTAATTTCATTTAGTGGAGATTCTGTTGAAATTCAATACATTTTCAGCCATTTCGATTTGGGAATTTGAGATTTGTAATCTGAAAACTGTGGTTTGGGTATGTGTAGATACTATGCAGGCAAACTCATCTCGATGATGAGATATACAACCAGCTTGTTCAGAAGGCGACGGAAGAAGGGTATGATGTGAGCAAACTGAAGAAGACAACACAGACAGAACCGCCGCCGGAATCCGAAGATGCTCCAGCCGATACCAAAGGGATTTGGTGGTTTAAATCATTATTTGGCAAATAGACCTTGAAAACAGGAAGACTCTTAATAAATGAACGTATATTGATGTTAAATTCAGTTGAAGTGTGGAAGAATGTAGTGGTTATGTAGTTGTACATATTGCTTACCTGTGTGTGGTACAACTTCTTTCTAGTTCATATGGTAATGATCAATGAAAATGTTATTGGTGTTTGAATGTTTGATCGCAATTTGGAGATTGAAATTATGTTTATGGGTTTTTGCGGTGGGTCTGGTGGCATGTGGGTGGGTTGCTTGTATGGAAACGCGGGATTGGGACGTGTCTATGTGAAAATGATAGACACAAGAAACCAATTCAATTAACTTTTATCTTGAATAGACGAGTGAACTGGTTTTCCTGGTTTTATGATATTGTGTGCACGCTTATTGACCATAATCCATTGAATAGGTATATTAAGACTGTCAAATATTGAAATTTTACTAAGATCTTTTTATATGTTAGTAAGATTGGATCAGGATCCTACCAAAATGAACCATAATCTTTGTTGGTGTAAAACTTAAATTTATAAAAGTTAGCAATAAAACATCTCAATTATAAAATGGAACAAGATCATTATGATATATAATTAAAGGCTTAATATCAATGAATGTAATATGTCTAAAATTTAAAGGCTTAATATATAAATGAAATAATATGAGTGTAATATGTTTAAAATGCGATGAATTGATCAAGTGATGATATATGAAGTTTCTTAGAACTTGCGATGATCAATTTTTGACTATATAATAAACTAGAGAGGTGGAATTTGATCACATTAAGATTTTAAGAGCATTGTTGGGATTTTAAGATCTCACATGTAAATCTTGCTTTATATATATCCTATATATCCTAGTGAGTTCGATATCGTTCTGCTTCATATACATCCTAGTGAGTTCGATATTGTTTTTGGCTTGTAGGATTTCAAAATCGTAAGATCAAGATCGAAAATATTATTAGAAGGTGATTAAACGAGAATGAAATTGATTATTATATTTATATTTGTTATTTTTTGCACTAGAAAAAATTAGATTTTTATTTTATTTTATTTTGAACGGTAAAATTTTATAAAGGCAAAACTAGCAAATATGCTAGAAGATTACATAATTCAATTTAGATACGTAGGAGAGCAACACCATCTAAAAAATTACAATTTAGTTTATGATTTTAACCATTTGAAAGAGATGATTTGTATATCATCCATTGTCTTCATCGCAAACTCACAAACATGCTTGAACACTAAATCATTACACGTCTTCCACATCGATCAAAATAATATGTTGATCAGAGATCAACATAATTTCCTATCCTTCTTGCTCAGATTTAAGTTATCGATACCAACCATAAGCTTTGATGATGTTCCGGGACAGGAAAGAAAACAAATAGCCCCCACAAAAGAACAATAAAAAACAGATGATTAACACTTTCAACAACGTTACTACATAAGGGGAAAATGTCAAATATCATATGCACCCCCAAACAACAAGATTTAAAGAAACGTGAATCACATCCAGGAAGATTCTCCAAGTAAAGCAATTGACTTTAATCGGATCCCAACTCATCCAATTGAACATACAAGAAACGCCATTCGCCTTGGCATCCACAATTAACAATCTCAAGGATCGACCAAAGAAATTCCGTGAGGAATTGCCCTTCCAAACCCATATGTCTTTAGCTTCCAAATTAAGGATATAACTGAAACCCACTATATTGTTATATTGTTTGTTTTTAGGGTTGGTTCAACTTAATTTGAGTCATGTAGCAATTTTTTTTTTGAACACTTCAAATTAAGTTGAACCAACCCACAAACATACTTGAACACTAAATCATTACACGTCTTTCCATACTTCTGCTCATCCCTAAGGATATGTATTAGATGCATCTAATTTTGCATCAAATGCACCATATATCTTAGTAGCTGAAGCAAAAGCCTTAACTAGTACACAAATATATTCATAAAGCTCATATCGAAACACCAAAATATTGACATTATATCGATCACATAATGTGGAGGTGTCATGAAATGAAAACTATTGTGGTTACATGCATCTAAAATTGAAAGCAAAGCTAGATCAATGCAATAATATATATATATATATATATATATATATATATATATCCAAATTGGAAACAAGCAAAGGTGGAGCAAGGACAAAGCATATACATGTTAGGGGTGTGATCATGATGACATGAAGGCTTTGTGAGGAAGAGGGAGGGGCTAAGATGAGGATGGTGGCTTTCGATGCAGCGCCATAGGAATAAGGAAGGGGCCCTGAGAGTGTGAGACGAGGGTGGTTCTTGGAGGTAGTGTAACATCCCAAAAATCAAAGTAAAATTTTCATTTTTCCAAAACAACTCCAAGACAATAATTGTTTACAAAAATGTTGTTTCAAAAGTATAATTCATAAATAAGAGTAATCCCAAAATCTAATAACATAAAACTCGAAAGATGTGCACGATTACGCCTTCGGTTTGCCACGATCATCTGAAGTACCTGAAACAATAAACCAAAACTATAAGCCAAAGCTTAGTCAGTTCCCCCAAGGTACTGCAAACATATAATCAAACATATATTAGGTCCACAACCTCCTGGTTGGATTACCCATGGCCCACAACCTTCTGACTGGAATGCCCCGGCCCACAACCTTTTGGTTCGATTGCATAATACATACTAGGTCCACAACCTCCTTGTTGGATTACCCCTGACCCACAACCTTCCGGTTGGAATGCCCCCGACCACAACCTTTCGGTTGGAATGCCCCCGTCTGTTGACTAACAACACAAAGCATTACAGTCTCAACCCCACCATACCATGTCGATATATACATAACAAATAATAGATATCTATCAACAGATAATCATATAACCAGTCATCAAACAAACATGCATATCTAACAGTTTATTACAACATAGCAACATCCTAGATACCATGATACACAATCTAGTGGGTCGACGTTGGTGCCTTCGACCCACAAGTATAGTGAGGAAAAACTCACCTCTCAGTCTGAAAAGATCGTATAACAGGAAACAGCTCCATATATCTGCTTTACCAGTCACATATTCATTGGAACATGACCAAACTTAACTTATAATTAGAATACCCAAAATACCCTTAGGTCAAACTTGGTCAATCCCCGATCAAAATCAAAAAGTCAAAAAGTCAACTAATTCAACTTAGAGTACGCTGCACTTACTCGAGTTTGACTAAAAGACTTGACGTTGACTGCGTACGTGTAGCGTATCATTTGGTACGCCCAACGTACACGACTGCCTTCCCTCCATTCTATTAAGAGCTTAATCCTTAAGCTCTTTTACCCAAAATTTGGATGTAGTCTTCAAATGTTGTCCTTAACCATAAAGTTTCCAACTTTAGGTCTTGCATGGCTATTAAGTGCTAATAACCAAAACACTAACATCTTAACTCATTAAGACACCCTAGCTCATGCATGGGAGGGAACTAATGACCCAAACCACATTTTTATGCTTCTAAACCCTCCAAAACGTCTGAAAGGACAACTTATATGAATTAGAGTAACCCAAGATCATAATACCATCCTAATGGGACCAAAAGAACACAAACTTCATGGCTAAACAAGATCTAAGCACATATTAGTCAAGTTTAGAGCTATTTACCTTCAAAGGGTGTCAAATGGTGATGTGATTTTGGATCCAAAGTGTTCCACTCTTCTAAGATGGTATCCTCTTCTTTCTTCCTTCCTCAAGTTCACCAACAACACATGCCAAGCTCAAAGATGCTCTCAAATGGATTAGGGTTGCAAAGGGTCGAAATGGGTGCTTGGAGGCTGATGAAAGAAAGAAGCCTTGAGAGTTAAGGATGTTTAAATACGGTCTAAACCCTAAAAATTCCTAAACTCCCGTGTTTCTGGGCTAAAGCATTAAAGATGATGTAATAGTTTAGGTCCACCTTTGTAACTCGTTTGAAGTAATAACAATATTATTTGAGTATTATGTGTTTTATACTTAATTATCATGATTTAGTAAATTAAAGATAAAAATAAGTGTCGAAAACAAATGTTAGATAAATACGATATATATTAAGAAAGTTGTAGAGGTTGAAACAAAGATTCCGGAGATATAAAGAATATCGAAATCCGAGTAATAACGAAGAAGTTATGACCTGTCGAAGTTTCGCGATAGAACCGACACAACGCTGTGTGACGTAAAAAGTGAGTTTACGATAAAGTGCTTTTTAGCTTTAGCGATCTAAATGAAAGTCGTATTACACGTTAAACAGAGAGCGTGTATAAAAAGAATGTGCAAATCTGATTTCGTATGAGAAAATTATTAATTTTCTAAGAATTGACATAATAGTATGCAACTCGGAACTCGAAATATAGATTGAGCAATTTTTAGCCAACACAACGAAGATCTTGTCGATAGTAGTTTAACGGTAAAAAAACAGACAAAAACGGACGTCAGATGAAGAAGTTATGAATTTTTAACGCACTATAACTTTAAAAATAAAGTCAAAATTAGCCGACGGAGTCTAAACGAAAATTGTAGAGCACAATCTTACCTACACGTGCATATAAAGAGCGTCGAAAACGGAGCTCGTATGTGAAAGTTATGAATTTTTGAAATTCGAGGCACAAACTTCGAGGCTGGAAGAACGCCCAACGTACTAAGGGGTACGCTTAGCATACTGATGTACGCCCAACGTACGACGTCGGTACGCCCAACATACTTATATTTGCTCGGTCCAAAATTATCCACGACACACCCTTCACATGCTTGACACGTTGATGAACACGTCTGAAGTAATCCACTCTTATGACCAGTGTACATGAGTACGCTCAACGTAGAGCACCACAAGGCAGTACGCCACGCTTACCTGAAGATTACGCCCAACGTAATGATGGGTTTTGGTCATAAGACATCCTATGTGCTCATACAAACTCTAATGCTTGGATCTAGGTTTCTCTATTGTACATGCTTTGAATCCAAGACTATAAACCCTAATTCTAACATACATATAATCATATTAACATGAGAATAAGTTTATAGTGTTACCTTGATTGTTATATAGCAATAACAATCCCAAATCTCCTTGTATTGACTTTGGAAGGCTTAGAGTCACAAGTGTCACTCCTCTAATGGCTCACAAACACCATAAGCAAATGAAGAAGGTATAAAGAGAGAAGTGAGAGGTTAGAACTCGTATCTAGGACCGCTTGGGAAGGGATACACGAATTCATGACCCTAGGGGTGTTTATATAGGTGTAGAGATAGGGTTTCAGTCATTATCCTTATCTAGTTGATTATCCATTAAGCAACCAATAAGATAATCCTTGAATCCTTATCATAATCGAATTCTAAGGATTTCCAACCTTAAATTCGTCCACCATATAAATAAGATAATCCTTACCTTATTTTGTAACTATCACATAATTACAAATCAGCCCCTCT